TATAACCCAAAAACAACATCCTATCACCACCACCGCTTGTCCAGAGCCATCAAAACTCCACCCCCTCTGTGCAGGACCATAACACATGTTAGCACCACCACCATTCAAACCAAGTGAGTCACAGATTTTTAAATTGAATAACCAATTTTTTACCCAATTCTAAACATCAACTTCAAGGATTTCATCAACCACCCAATTCAATTAAAATTTGAAGAGAAAAGCTGCCAAATTTAACTACAAAACAAAAAACCAAATTCAATCCAATTTGGAGAAAAAAAAATCTAATTTTTCCATCCGACTGATCCTCCAAGAACATTGGGAACCAAAGCCACCAATGTAATCTATCGAAATCGATGGTAGCGTTTTTCCTTCCATTAATTGGAACAACTTCAAATTCTTTCTGATGATTCATCCCCTCATGCCGCCCAAGAGAGAGGAGTTCCTCCTTAGTGTTGTTACAGGTGATGGTGTCGGCGTCGGTGAAGAGGAGAAACCTAATCACAGTGTTGACTCCGTCCCTGATTAGAGGTGTAAATTGGGCGGCTAATCTAATTTCAACCTGAGCCCAACCCAAAAAATTAGAATTTAGGCTAAGATTTTTAATACTTGGGTTGGACTTGAATTTGGATCAAAAAATTTCAACTCGAATTCAATTTTGGTCAAAAAATTTCAATCCGAATTTAATTTGGGTAGACCTAGGGTTGGCCATCGAGTTCACGGATTGAACCCGGATATTAAAATCGGGCTCAACCCGATTTAATAATTGAGTTCAACCCGAATTAATACTCTATAAATACAATTTTATCTTAGGGTTAATCTCAACTCAAGTGTGTGCCTCCCTTTAGACCCTCACTCACTCTCAATCTCTCTCAAAGATTTTGGTTGTTCAAGGATTTTGTTTAAGCAGTGAACTCTATATTTCTATATGATTGTAGTTGTATTATCTCTAATATTGAGTTCTTAATATTATGATTTTTATGTTAAAAACTTGATTGAAGCAACTAGGGATGTCAATGGATTGAAGCGGGGGCGGGGAGTGTAGTCTTCATCCCTGTACGTTAACGGATATAATTTTCATCCTCATCCCCCTCCACGGATAAATTTATAATCCCCATCCTCGTCCCCGCTTCCCCCGTACCCGCCCAAACCCAACTAACATAATTCAAAATTTTAAATAAATTTAATATTTTANCCGTACCCGTTTAAAAAAATTTCGTCCATCTCCGGTCCACCCTCGTTAACGGGTATAGTTTTCATCCCCATCCTCGTCCACGGATAAATTTCTAATCCCCATCCTCGTCCCCGCTTCCCCCGTACCCGCCCAAACCCAACTAACATAATTCAAAATTTTAAATAAATTTAATATTTTAAATAATCCAACAACATTTTAAATAATCTAACATAATCTAACACAACATAATGTAGATTGCAAAATGTAAAAGTCAAAACAATATAATATTCTATTTAAAGTGTTATTAGACCACAAAAAGAGAAACAGAACTATTAGAGAAAAAAGAAGAAAATGAATATAAAATTAAACTAAGAAAACGATAGCACTATACTTAAAGTTTCCTAGAAGAATTTTTCTTATTACAATTTATATTATAGCCATAAAGTGTTAAAAAATAAAAAATAAAAATTTTGCTAATTCAATAATTCTCTCTATTTCTTAGTTCACTCTAGTAGAGAAATTCATCAACCTTCATTAACAATATTTCTACCCACGATGAAAATGCAAAACTATCTTATTTTCTCTTATCTGTTTTTAGAGCATGGTCAATCCAAACTCATAACAGTTTCAATCAATGAGCACAAATAGAAAACAGAACAATCAAAGAAAAAAGTTGATAAGATTACCACATAATATTGCCACTTGTTAGTTTAATTACCATATGTAATTACAGTAAATATGTTTAGTTAGGACTTGAGAGTATTTTTATTTAAGTATATATAATGGGTAGCGGGGGCGGGGCGGGGCGGGGATAAGGGTAAGTTCATCCTCGCCTTTATCCCCATACGGGTTTATACGAGTATTCCTGTATTAGTCCCCCGTCAAATACATATAGTCCATCCTTGGTCCAAATAGGACGGATTTGGACGAATAACCGTTTTTCCTCAATCTACTGTCATCCCTATACATATCTGATAAATAGGAAAAAAAAACTCAATTTTATGATTGCATAAGCCCAAACAGAANCCATTTTCCTCCGGTCCACTGCCATTCCTAGAAGCAACCTGAAATCAGCCCATAAAATAATCCGAAATCATTAATCCGAGCCACCCGAATTAAATTCGGGTAGTGTTCGGGTTGAGTTTCTCAACCCGAGATATGGTTATAATTAAAGATTATATACTTAGGATTGAATTAGGGTTGACTGTCCAACCCGCCCAACCCGTCCGTGTTGCACCCTATCAATGATTGAGGCATTTTTCTTCTAAGGGTAATATTGGTTCTCACGGTTAGACCACATGTGGGGTATTCATGGACCTGGCTGGGCTCGGCCCATAAAATTATTTTTGGCTTATGTTTCGAGTTGGTTTAGAGTACGATAGGTCCAAATCTTTATTCGTGTGAATTACTAGGCGGGCCTAGACGTCGAATAGGTATAGAGTATTCGCAGCCCAACTCGTAATTCATTGGGCAGGCCTTGCGGGCAGGCCTGTTGGGAGGGCCTAACAGGCCTACTAGACGAGCTTTTTATGTATAACTTTATTTGAAAATAATGATTATTTTTGTAACTTAATTTTTTTATAAATTATATTTTTAAATTAAAATTATAGTCAAAATTGACAAAAAGTAAATAATAATTAATTTTATTTATAAATATTGGGGGAATTGTATCACAATAAAATGAACACATTCCAATTAGGTTAACATTTACCCACATATCTATCATTTGTACAATTTTATCTTTTAAAGCGTACATGTTTAATACATAAAAAAAAAATTATTATTGATAATATCTAAGTTTCTAAAACTTTGAATTGCAGCATTGAAGAACTTATTTTCATGTTTTGACTTGATGGGACGGACAACCCCGTTGGACTGTGCTAGGCGAGTTCTTAGGCCGAGTATTAACAAGTTTTGCGGGCAGGCTATTGGACTGAGTAATGTGTTTGGGGTAGATCCAAGCCTTCTCTCGAAGGATATTTGGCTTGGCATGAATCAATTTTCAAGTTTATCTAATTTCAAGCCTATTTTTTTTTTTGAGCCATCCTTGGACAATCCGGCCATCGAACACTCCTAATCACGTGGTGTATCAGCCCAATAATAAACTAATGAATTGATTGATTAAGAGAAATTTACACTGCAATGATTTAGCTGCATTCCATTTCTTCTCACAACTGCCATATTTGACTCGGTACTGCAAATACAAGCGATTATTATATGAGCAATGTTATTAAAATTTAATTTATTGATCTAATTTATTTTAATTTATAGATTGACTATGAAACCTATCAAACATTGAAATTTGGTGTTGATCTAATAATTTTATTGAAGACACATCATTATGTTAGCAAATTATGTCAGATTTTTAGGTCCAAATAGTATTACTCTTATTATAATGCCAATTATATAAATAAATAATTGTTTAAACAACATCCACTTAAAGAATTGTTTAATTAAGAATTATTCAAACAAATTATTTAATATAAATTTACGCCAATTATTTAACTGCATAATTTAGAAGGATTTCTTTTCTTTTTGACAAGGTCCACGTCAGATATTTGGAATTAGGAAACACGTCGTTTCATTAAGAAAAATGTTATTTGGACCTAATTTGGAGATCTTATCTAGAGACCTAATTCAATACAACCATTGGATTGGTTGTAGGCTTCATTTAAGATTGAAACTCACAACTAATCCAATTGTTGTATTAAAACCACATCATTAAGTTCTCAAATTAGGTCTCCAAATAAAATCTCATGTGCAGTTAAATGTCGATAATTGGAAAAGAAATATGCAATCAAAAAAAGATTGAGAAATTTTTCAGTGGCACTGCCAGCCATGTGGTGTATATTTTAAGACTTGTATAAAATAATGCCCATTCTCATGGCCACAACAGTTTGATTTAATGATTGTAAGTCCTCAGTCTAGCATTACCCCCATTTTATTACACTACTTGCAGAAAAGAGTAATAAAAAAAACCATGGACTTTCAACAGCCTAGACTGTCCATTCTTTCTCAGATTGTTCAGATGGGTATGGTTTTATTGGCTCTTTAATTTGGACATTGGAACATGGATTCAAACAAATCTTTACAGTTAGTGTAACAACACTGGTAATTGTGTATTGGCTGCGGGGTATAGTGAATGTTAGATAGCAGAAACAGAAACAGAAACAGAAATAGACGCAAGAATTTTTTTTTATTCACTCTCTCCAAAATTTGAATATATAACATATTTTAAATCAAAAATCATAAGAGTATAAATTACTAGTGTCCCGTACTCTGGTTACAATTGTGAGTATTTTTTTAATTTACATTGGTCCCGAATGAGATTGGAGTAACGGTCATTTTGCACACAACTCTGTTTTAAACATTCAGACTCTTTGTATCTAATTGGGAATGCATTGACAGTGGACTTCATTTGATGCTATAATTTTTTGCTGGTCTAATAACCACAATGAATAGGGTCCTCACATTAAATCCCCCATATTCGATATCAATAGCATTGGTCATTTTTAAAACTACTTACTTGAGAAGTTTTCTATGCAAATGAATTGAATCAGAAGTTTTGATTGTCCATAAACATGGGAAAGAATCTAACCTAGGCAACACCAACTTTGTGCAGAACCAAATAACACGGAATCTTAGTTCTTACCTAGTTGATTCTTTCTTAGCCCAAACACACACACGCACTCACTGCCTCTCTCTGTCTCTCTCCCCGCCCCCCAGCCAAGGATATTCAGAACACGTTAATGCAAGCAAACATAAAAGAGGGTGAATCACAAGATCTGCACACTTATTTCTTTTAGTGCGGTGCATCCTACATTCTTGGATAAGGTTCTGACAATCTCTTAGACACAACTTATACATCTAACACAAAAACACGCCATATATGGGCATTACAGCATCAATTGTTCGAAATAACTAATATCATCATTGTTGTAAAACATGTATGGATGCATATACCCTCCCTCTGTTGAAGATGGTGAGTAATAATGTTGGTCGTAGAACGTGTCAACCAAAAAGGGTTCACTCCAGAAATTTCCAAGTGGGTCGGCGAAAAATTCCAGTGAATGGAAGGAAATCCTATCTTCCGTAGCCAAAGTGGTGCTTCTTAAATTTGTGGATATAGGGGTGCTTTCCAAAGGATGGTGAGATGTAGCATCATCAACATCATTTTCGAGTTTCGATTCTCTCTCCTTGTTGCCTTCACTTAGGGAAGTTTCATGAAATTTCTCTTTCTGATTTGCTTCAGGTTGAGAAGATACACTTGATTCAGCAGTTACTTCAGACATTGGATTTGGTTTCACACGTCTCTTAAGACGAGTGTGCCAGTAGTTTTTTATATTATTGTCTGTTCTTCCTGGTAAATGTGTTGCAATGACTGACCATCTGTAATTGAGAAAAACATAAAATGTTAGAAACATGAAGTCACACTATTCCATTAAGTCCACAATCAAAACCCTTAAGTTAACAATCACAAGAGAAACAACGTTCATAATCACAACTACTATTCGTTCTAACATTTGCATTTGCGCCTATTTATTACAGGATTTGGTCTGGATTCTTGCCTACACCAACACTTTTGTCAAATATAACTCAAAAGTCTTGTTAAATTGTTGTAGTTATGCGTTGTGTTTTTATTCTAATCTCTCGGGCTGTGAGATTATTGTGTTATTAGTGAAGTAAGTAAGTTTGTGTGTTGAACAATTCTTAAAACTCTTAAGATTGTTTGTTGTTGTCTTTCTGTACTTGTTCTGATCTTTGTTGTAACTTCCTCTTTTTCAGAAATAAAACTTATTACTTACCAAAACAAATTAAGTTTGTTTATTTTGCTTCCTATGTAATTCCTTTTTCTATTAAAGGGGTCAGGTTTATGTCCCCCAATTTCTTTGTAATTTTGAATCATGAATAAAACTTGCCCCGATATGGAATAATTTAAAAAATAAAAATCTTTACTTGCCAAAACAAAAAATTTGGTGCACTTGGTTCAATGAGAAATCGAATGTTAAAAGCCTGATAAGAAAAATACATTGTTCTAAATTAGGGTAGAAGTCAAAAGAAGTTCTTACTTGTTTCCATGTTTGTCATGTAATTTCATGATCATATCTTCCTCTTCTTTGCTATAGTTCCCATGTTTCACATTAGGTCGCAAGTAATTCACCCATCTTAATCTGCAACTCTTCCCACATCGAGAAAGACCTAAAATTATACCACCAAATCAGATTCCATCTTTTGGAAATAAAATTTATCTAACTAGCTACCGAAGGAAAAATAATAATCAGATTCCATCTAAATGAAGAACACTACTAAATCTCACAACCCTAACTTCAGTTTTCATTTTGCATCTGTTATTGGGCTTTCACAAAAGATAATAATAGCCAGTAAAGTGAAAACCGTTTCTGTTACAGGCAATTAGTTTCCTTGAAAATCAAAATTGGAAGACATCAGTTTCTGCCGAGTAATTAGCTTAGATGTTAGCTTTTAAACCTGTGAAGACAATTCATTCACTGTTCAAGGGGAAATCTGTAGTAATAGTGGAACAATAATCAGTGCCTCTAGTAGATCTCTTTTTACCCTATGGTTTATATATGTTTGCAATACCTGCTTGTTCATTGATTTAATGTACTTTTGGGCAAATAACACGAATTTCATGGATGATCTGAGAAGGGATCACTCCCATTAACAAACAATGATTTACTTTCATTGCTATCTGCTTAATGAGTACCCACCAGAAAAACTTAATTAAGAGACAGAAAGACGAAGACGAATACAAAAAAGATTGTACCTGCGTGCTTGGGGAGTTGACGCCAGTTCCAATGGCCATATTTTTGGATATAAGCTCTCAGCTTATTATCTTCTTCATCACTCCATGAACCTTTCTTCAATCCATTCTTGTCAAAGAAAGGACTTCTCACCATTTTCTGTGTATCTTTCCTTGATCTGCTCTTCACTTACAAGATAGCTCACTTAATGGTTGAAGAAAAACTTTTATAGAGCTCAGTTCTATATATACTACTGCTATATGGCCTGAAAATCCAAACGTGTTTACCAACGTGGGTCCCTCTGAGAAGGTACCACGAACATGGCTTTAACTGCCTCTTTCTTTTTGTTTTTTTTTTCTGATTAAAATAGTAGCGGTGGACTCCTGAGACTATCATTGATTTTCATTGGTAGAATTACGAGAATCTTGATCACGCCCGTTATATCTCTTAATTATGAATTTAATTAAGTTTACATAACGGTCAATCACCGATCTCCAATATTAACTGTAACACTCGAACCCTCAACTTTAGAATAAAAAATTCAACTGCAACTGCAACCAGATAGATCACCTCACTAGGTGATTTCAAAGAGGCAGAAAGAACGAGGAGAGTTCCTTCACGTTCTACACGAAATCAAGAAAAGAGTGCATGTGTTCAGGGAATGGGATGTTGTTAAATATGTTTGTAATCTTTGAATAGATAAGCCTATGCATAAATGTTTTCATATTCATTACGGAGGATAAGCCAGGTTGACTTACGACAATTTGATTTAAAAGGTCGTCTTTAAATAATGTTTTTTTTTTTTAATTTTTGAATATTAAGTATTTATTCTTGTTTGCAGTCAATTCTTCTTGTTTTTTCGTTTGCAAATTTACTGAGTAAATATTTATATAAGTTCATCTTTCTTTAGTTATAGTTCATCTTATATAAGATTTAAAAATTTTTAATTTTGAAAAAATCATTGTGCGAAAACGACTGTGACATATCTTATTAGTTCTATTTTGTAAGCAATAGATGTGTTCGGAGTCGAATTTAGTCATGTTATATAACTCAACATCTTTTAAAACTTAGTTCTAAAACAAATTTAAACCATCAATATTAGAAAAAACTATTATATTTTAAGATATATTGTAGTCCAAGGTAATATAGTTTAAACTATCATTATCTATGAATTTCAATTTTTGAGCCAAATAAAAAATTAAAAATATTTTTGTATGTAATTGTTGTTCAAATTTACACCAAATTCTTTCAATTCCACTTATGTTGATAGGTGGGTAAAACGTAGGGTATGAATTGATCGTTTAATAATGAATTTGTAGTCACCGACTTAAAATAATTCCTAAAAATACTTTTAAAAAGTTACTCTAAACACACATTTAGGGATCTATTTTTCTTTTTAAATTTAGGGTGTTAATATTAACCGTTAGATTAACTTTAAAATAAAATTTAAAACGATCTGAACTGTGAAAAACAAAAATCATTTTGTTTATTTTTTAAATTTTGAATTGTAAACTACTTTATTATATAGATAATGTCTAATATTCAAATCATTACATATTAATGGTACATTAACGACTACATCTAGCGCCGCCCTTGATTTGTCTTAATGTCTTTGACTATTAAAATGTCCTGCAATTCTATTGGTCTAATTTAGTGGCCAAACTTGAATAAGTATTAGCAATGACGTTTTCATTATAAATTAATTTGAGAGGTGAGGGGTCTTTGTTTTCCATTTGTAGGGAACAGGGCTGTCTCTCTCATGGTAGCTAATCTTTGTATAGTTCATAAGATATGAATTGAATAAATTCTGTATTATAAAACTTAAATAAACATAGAATCTATCTAACACAACCAATTTTCAACATTACCCACAATCCACCCAAGTCATGGACCCAGGGCACATAGAGTGCTTTGTGTAGAAACAATGACCATCATTTCTTCCTTGGACCTTGACCATTATAACCGCTTTGCCATTAATCTTTGATATTCTAGGATTCCATACTCGATGATCATTTGTCTTGTTTGTACTCTTCCTGTCTCTGCATTAAACATGAACATGGTGGTCATACGGTGATTAGACAAAAATGTCGCTGATGAAATATTGTGGAATAATCTAATGTTTTAGATCAAAACCGTGTAATTTTATAAAAGGTAATTTTAAATCTAACACAAGAAGTATAGTAAGAGAGTTCACACCTCGTGTACTCATACTTTTATTTCTTGTTGTTTTTACTACCCTTGACTGAGTGTGCGAATTTGTGCATGTGTATTGAATGCATCACGTGCATGTATATAATGTATTTACTACAAAAATATTGCCGTGATTGAAGATCCTACGGTTAGTATCATATCACGGTGGATGCAGGCCATTTGAATGTCATTTTCTCTCTAGTTTTTTACCCAAAAAAAAGGATTTAAAAAGACTTCAGAGTCAACTTCTCCACGCGGATTCTGGCTGGAAGATGAAAATTGACCGTTGATATTGACACGTGGCAGAAAGAGATAGACTTAGACAGGCTGTGAATTGAATAAGAAAACAATCTGAAGAACAAGCCTTCCCTAGGTAGCAAAATAAAGAGGTATTTGATTGTTGTTTATCCGAGCTTGTGCTATTCAAAGTGAAGGACAGTTGTTTTGCAACATACTATGGTCGGTTTGGTAGGATGGATAAAAAGCAGGTAAATATTTTTCTCTCTCCTCTTTTTTATCAGTTTTTTTTTATTCACCAATTTTTTTTTCATACCAAACACATCGTTAGAGATTTCTTTTATGATTAATTTTGCAATTTAGACATTGAAATAATGTGTGAGGGTTAAGTTTCACATCAATAATAAAACAAAGTAACAAAAAAAAAATAATATACATTGGATGAACTCAGTGTTAAGGTTTTAGGTGTTTTTCCGAACATATTTTGTTTATATGTTGAGTTGTGTTTGTGTCGCGTGTATTATTCTTGAGAAATCATATGTGAGAATTAATCTCATATCAGATAAGAAAAAGAATTAAAAGGGTGTTAAAATATCATGAATAGATTTATCAGACATATAATAGAATTAGTTATTTTTTGTGTTTGATGATACGGAGTAATAAAAAAAAATAGTCAATAATAAACCGAGAACCATATTATTTTGTGTGTGTGTGTTTTTTTTTGGGGTCCTATTCTCTTGTTTTAAACAAAATAACTATGGATTTTGTTCTCTTATTGTGTTATAACTTCTAAAGACTTGTTGATTTATACCTCTCTCAACCTAAGTCTTAGATCCTGTCCTGAACCAAGAGTTAATTGTTGACAAATTGAGCTGAGTGGATGTGCACCTTTAAACATTAGTTTAATCTCGCCAATGCATAATTTTTTTTTTTGGGTAAACGGGGAAAATCTCTAGTATTTTTTTGGCGATTAGAAGTGAGCTTATGTCGGTTGGACTCGTGAGTTTGAGTAAAATCGAGGGCAAATCATGTATGCATAAACTGGTCCCTAAACTCATACATTACTTAAATAAAAATTTGTGTTTCAATAAGGATTCGAATTCATACCAAAAATTTGTGTTCGTTTTACTAACAAATCATGTTTTTTGTCGCCCAGGGAACTTGAATTGAAATCTTTGACCTCAAAAATATAAAGATTTCACAAGACAAAGAGTTCTATTAGGGCAAATACCTATTACCTACAAAAAAAAAAATTGATGTAATTGAGCTTAATCACGAGTATATATATAAATTTATATTTTCACTATTTTTTAGTGAATATCTTATACATGTAAAACTTTCTTACTTTAAATTTTTATAAATTAATAAATAAAAATTATTCAAATTAAAATTTCATTTGGACACGGTACCCTCATCCCAACAGTTTGGATGAATATGTAATTAATGCAAAATAAATGATATCACTTTCGTGGTGGGTTGGTGACGAGAACAGGCTGACGTAAGCAATCTTTATATAAACGTGGAATAAAATGTAGACGGTAAACGTTTGACACAAGAACACCATATTGGTAATTTGGTATTTATACCTTTTTTTTTGTCCAGTAATATAGGGTCCCATTACGATACCAAAATATATTTTTTTTTGGTACCGAATATATTTACTTTTTTATCTCCTAAAAATTTGTAAAGTGTAAAATTTTATTAGTTTTATTATTTTATTAATTAATAATTGTAAATCATCTGAAATAAAATTGACGGTCAGATGCATTTTGTTATGCTATAGACTTATATATTGTCACATCTAAAATTTAATTCTTAATTATATTGTTTTTACTAGCAATGGCTATCAATAATTTAAAATAATACTGAAATGTGAAAACTCTGTACCGTATATTTATTCTTAAAGGAACCGTTTGGTCCGCGGGATAATATTGAATTGAATAAACAGTTACTATCTTGTTCAGCCTTTCAAAAGAGGATAAGAAGGATGGGTTAGAGCGGATAGGATAAGGTTGGTGCAAAACTTGATGTTTGGTTCGCACAAAATAAAATGTATGAGGAGTTCTCTTTTGGCTAAAATACTCTAGTTTCTCTAATATAAATTGAAAAAGAAGGGGGGGGGGGGGTGCTCCATTTACGATACGTATAATAACTTTAAATAATCTTACATGAGGGTACGAGGAAAAGACTTGGAGATCGAGTTCAAGAGACATTATTCATTCATTCTTGTAGCAGGACATCATTCATTCATCAAGTCGAACAAGAAGGCAATGCCAAAACTAAAGAGTGTTATCGGGTCACCTGTAGGCAGTACTGAATCGCAGGATTTTGACCCAAACTACAAGGTATCATTCCCATCCGATAGTGACATCAGGATGAATGTGGGAAAAAGCTGACGAGTTGTCGTCAGCAAGCTACAAGCCATATAAGCACCAGGCTCAACCTGTTGCTAATCGGGGCGAATCCCTCCGTATCAAGGGGGAGAACCCTGCTCTAGCGAAGTTGGTTTTGTCCGTGCAAGACCGATTGGACGCGCATGATAGGATGTTCAAGAAATCCTATGTCAAAGAGAGAGATTTGAGAAAGAAAAATGAAGAATTAAAGCACAAACTGAGGGAAATGACCGAGAAAGAGAAACGTGGCCAAGAAGATCGATGGGAGAGCCCAGAAAAAAAACAAAGTGAAAGGGAGAACGCCGATGAAGAGGAGTATAAGTAGAAAAGATGGGA